TTAAATTGTATTATTATTGTCGCAATGAACAAAACAGAAGCTTTTCTTTTTTTCATTTTAAGCTAAAAATTTCAAACCAGATTCCAGCGGAGGAAGAAATCAGGAAGAAGCACTGGAAGTGGATGGGACAGACATTGAGGAAAGCATTTAACTGAGTCACAAGGCAAGCCCTCATATGGAATCCTTAAGGCGAAAGGAAAAGAGGAATACCAAAGAACACATTACGCCAAGAAATGAAGACAGACATGAAAAGAATAAATAAAAATTGGGTAGAACTAGAAAGGACGGCTCAGGACAGAGTGGGTTGGAGAATGATGGTCGGCAGCCTATGCTCCATTGGAAGTAACAGGTGTAGAAAAAGCTAAAAATTTGTCAATAATGAATGAATTGATAACTCAGATCTTTATTAATTTATCTTTATTTCGTGTTGTAAAGTATTTCCATTGTTTCGATGTAGCAAAAATTTACCATATGCTTGAGCTACACCACAATTTCGTTATATTCTTGGTTTCATTCATTTATTCACGTTGTTTATCTAAATTTTAATGGATTTGATTGTCTTCTAGCTATACAAAATTCAATATTAACTTTGATAGTTAAAGTTTAGTAATTAATTTAACTTAAACCATTACACAATTAACATGAAGGTAAACAATGATTATATAATAAGTAGTGAAATAATAATAACTATAATCTATTCTAAACGAATCTCTTCAAGTGTTCACTTCGCAGCAGTTTTTTTGCTGTTGTTGTTTTGTTTATAAAGTAAACGCTATTAAATAGTTGTATAAACAATATCAGATATTATAGCATACAGTGAAATGAACTACATTTCAGAATATTCAATGTTAACGTAATCATTAATAACAAGTTACTGTTGTCAGATATAAATCTAAACAGAAATGTAATAACGTCAGTACTGAAAAAATTTTTTAAAAAAAAAGAACAAACCGAAACTAACTATAACCCCTTCATTATTAAAATGTTTATATAATCTAGGTGAATGATGCACCTTTTCTTTATTTAAAAAAAGAAAACTAATATTGTGTCTTTATCTAATCAAAATCATACTGTAATTATAATCTTGTATTTTACACTTGGAAAATAACATTTACGTTACTTTGTTTCTACTATTTTAGTCCAAAAATAAAAGACTTTTGAACAATGATCACAAGGTTAATAAATAATGAATACAAATAGATTTGAATATTATCAAAATGGTTAGATTTGAAAAGAGTATTTAAGTAAACTGAAATAACAGTGTAATCAATTATGCTAGAATTGGCATAATAGCATAGTCATATTTTTATTCAACTGTGGATCAAAATGTAACATCTTAATAGCTATGCATCTACTTTCTAGGAAAATCAGTTTTCCTCAGTGAGCTTTTTTCTGAAAACAATTTGACTAGAGTTCAGTCACTGAGTATCATTCATATATATATATATATATATATATATATATATATATATATATATATATATATATATATATATATATATATATATATATATATATATATATATATATATATATATATATATTATCAACAAGATCTTGTTAAGGGCTACAAGTGATGTCTTCCGTTTTTCATCATTTCTTGAATGATGAAGCCTACACTGAAATGTCGATAAAATATGTATTACCAATAATTATAAAGATAATAATAATAATAATTCAGGATTTCATTTACTTAAAGAAGAAATTGTTTAAGTGAAAATATTCAGTTTGCTTTTTATACTTGTCAATCATTACATAATAACTATTTCAAATTGTCTTATTAGTTCCTTATACATTTTATTGCAAATAATTTTTCAGTTAAGCCTTTTATAACTTGGTGATGAACTCATTCTTTTCTCTTTTTGTTATTGATCTAGACAAACTGAATAAATAGGGAGAGCAAATGTATGGTGAAGCAATTCAATAAAATAATATATTCATTTCAGCTAATGTAATACAGTCAACCATGCATATATATGTAGCATTATGCTTATTATATAAGATGACATTTTTTCGGGCTTAAGTTAACATTTCTTTTACAAACATAATATATTAAACATACGTTTGATAATTATATATGATGTTAATGAATTTTTATCAGGAGTTTGTGGAGATTTTAGAAATTTCACAGATTGAAATCATGAGTCAGTTGAAGCTAGACCACAATGGAAAACCTGGTTTATTTGGTTAAGCGCTTGGCGCTAGACTGTTAGGTCGTGGGTTCGAATCCCGCGGGATGCGAGGTCGTGGATGCAAACTGCTGAGGAGTACCATATTAGGACGAAACGGCCGTCCAGTGCTTCCAGGTTTTACATGGTGGTCTAGCTTTAATTAACTAATGATTTCAATCAATTAATTTTTAATGTAATTGGATGAGCGCATTTGATTATTAGTAATTAACTTTATATTGTTCACTGTTCAGTAAATTCATTGTAATCAAAACACTCTGACGTTTCTTGAATAAATGAAGTATTATTTGGAGAGTCCCATATTGAGACAAAACGGCCATCAAGTGTTTCTAAGTTTCATATGATAGTCTAGCTTCAACTGACTCATGAATTCAACTATTAAAATTACTATAACAGCCACAAAACCCTCTTCTGGTATGTTTTCTGCCCAGAAGACTAAGATGGTTTGCAAATAATTATTTTTTAGATGTTTTTTATATTTTTTATGCCTACAGTGATATTATTACTCTTCCACTCAACAATGAATATACTAATTATCACAAAATTCAAAATGGTTACGTTATCTGTGAGTCTTATCAAAACTCATTACAAAATATGTGGTAATAAACATTTGAAACTTAACATCAATTTATTCAAGAAGGAACAAGGATTCAGAAGGAAATAACACTAGATTCAATATGCTGGTCAAACGTTTACTATTCAGGTGAAGCAGTCTCATTGAATTAACAACTTCGTAACAAGGTATTTATTTAGTTATATAGAGGTCATGACAATCAAACACTTTCAATTATGAATAACCATCCTAAAATAATTTGAATAATTCAACTATGTTTGTGACTTAAATAAGTCTTTTGTACGTCAGTCATCTGATGTAATGCTCCCCATATCCACAAGTTTAAAGAATAGTTGTGTTCCTAGTTTCACTGGAACTGATGTCCTAAGATGTCTCCAGTTACTGAATTCATCCCAATATTTAGGACCTGATAGTTTCCCAAACCTGTTTTATAAAAAAACATGCTGACGTTCTATGTTATCCATTCACGAGTATCTTTAACAGATCCTTCTCAACTAATCTCATACCGAAAATGTGGAGAAAGACAAAAATAATCCCTATACCTAAGAAAGTATCTGATGATAAAAATGCCAAGTTTAGACCCATAGCAGTAACTTCACCTTTCCTCAAAAACTGAGATATAAGAGCACATTGATCTGTATCAGTTGGCTTACACATGCAAAAGAAGCACCGTAGTTGCCATTGCTGTTCTGCATCACAATATAGTGTTCGGCTTCTGACTTTGATTTTAGCTCAAGACAAATTTTACCCAACAAGGTAATCAGCGTCAACACTGACAGCTAGATAACCAATTGACTATGTTCCTACCTCTCTGGAAGGGAACAGTAATCTGCGTTTGGAGGAAAGAGTGCAAACTTCTGATAAGTGTTATCTTCTCAGATCCCAATTATTCCCTCCATTCATATCCTTCTCTTTGTGTATCTTCTGGTAGAACGAGACGTCAATACATTAAAATCCATGCGCTCAAGCAACGGTATAAAAGTTCTATAATATCTTACCGAGCAAATATACTCTGTGACGAATGGGTTGCTAGAGTTTATCTAGTCAATAACCTGAATTCTTAAACATGTCTTTAGTTTGAAAAGTTGTACAGATTCTGATATTTTTTCATCTTTTCCTTTTTTGTTGTTTTTTTGTTTTTGTAAAAGAAACTTGCGGAAATAGCTCGTACTGAGAATTCTATATTGTACCAAAATGTAATATTGAATAAAGGCATTAATAATAATAATAACTATACGCTTTAGTAATAACAACTAATCTTCCATGAAATTTAAGTATTTCACATTATCCTTATTTTTTATTTATTTAACTGCTTTACATCAATTCGATTGATTGTTCATTAAACTACCTCTAATATTAGCACTATTATTTAATAATCTCCTCTATTTTACTTGTTGTATCAGATTAGATTTTTCATATATGAATAAGAATGATTTTTAAATGCTGATTTCCAAATAACTTCAGTGGTTTGATTTCAGTTTGCCAGTATCAATTTTTTTCTACAGATAACTGTATTATTTAAAATTCACTTTGTGGGTAATAAACTATTATATCCCGATAAGAATAATGATTTGTAACTGCTGGAATCTATTTCTGGACTAATGCTGTGCGTATATTTTTATCGTATAATTGTTAAATAACTAAACGAGTCATATTCGTTTTCCTCGTATTATAAGCTTTATTTTGACCTATAGACTATTATTATACGATTTCCCATTCTTCATTTATGCCCAGTCTAATAATTATAGTTTCCCACATTCACAACCACTTTTGACTAGATCTTGTACAAATGTTATTTTCTACTTTAGGGTGCGATGTGGTTTGTTTGGTGTGTATATAAACCCAGTATGTTTGAAATACATGATTCATATCACAGAGGCTGAGATTGGTGTTTTGGACTTAACAGGCTAGGTCAGGTAGAAGCAGGACCGATAAGTACTCTAGACTGTTCGTACAGGTTTTGTGCGTCATTAGTCCGGTCGACAAATTACTGTTCTCTATTTGGCGGTATCATTATGTCATATATTAATAGGGCACAAGGCCACAAATTACAACACAAACTAGACGTAATCAGTAATTCCTATAAAATATGGTGTGAATCGACAACAAAATTAGTTTAAAATTTTGATAAACCTAATTCTCTTTATATGATTCACCAGAGTAAACTGCAGTATTCACCTACAGAGGTGATAGTAGATCTTATTTAAAGAAGCTAAAGTGGCAAAAACAAAGTATGTTTAAAGTTATCTTGTAATCAAAGTATATATATATATTTCATGTGAGAAAACGTATCAAGCAAACACAGTATTTACCATTAAGACGCGAAAAATGATAAAGCGAATTACTGAGATCCGAGACAAAATAACAATTCTTTTTCTGAGAGGTTAGTAAACATGTTTGCATCAATAAAAAAAGGGGAACAAAGTGGGAAATGCAGTTATTATATTTACAAATATCAAATAATTTATTAATGGGAGGAGAAAAATAGATTTTAAAAATTTCTTTGTTTTTTTCATAATGTTCTAATGTATCCTAGTTTCTAAGAGAAAAAAGAAAGAGGACAGGCTTAAAGAACACTTAATAACTTAAGGAAAATATTTTAGATTCAGATATAATTATGTCTGTATAACTGTACACATTCAATGAACAAAATAGGAACTATCAGAAACAATTTGTACTTTTAATACAATGTAGTTACAATATAAACAAAATGCATAATATCTGCTATTAGAGAATATATAAGTGTATAGAACAACATATCTTAGTATTGCTTCAACTGTCTCTCTACTGATAGAATTCATTCGCAAAGAAAATAGGCAACATAGTGAATTGATGAAAGATCAGCTAAAACCTGATTCATGGGAACTAAAACACTTCAGAACACTGTAAAACTATGATTAGACTTCTGTAGACGTTAACAATTCCAAGTCTGTTGTAATATGAAATTCAAGATTTTCATCCCAATTCGACAATGTGTCTTGGTCGTTGTTCTTAGCAATGGTCATTGTAGAATTGAAGTTATTAAACAATAAATCGGTATTTTTGTAAGGTGATGGGGATTGACGAATATTTCCTCGTTTTAATGAATGTTTTGTATTTCTAAACTGAAAATTATCATTGCTAATGTTATCATTATGAGATCCTGTTGAATGAATATTTGATATTTGATTGGCCATGGTATTATTTATCGATGTTTGATTTAGCTGACCATTCAGAGTCAAGTGATCAGGTAATAAATTGAAATCAAAATCTTGTATAAGACGCTGTCCATCGTGAAGCACTGATGACTGATTATCTTTATTATTAAAAGGTGAATACTAAACAAATAAGAAACAGGAAAAAAATAATAGTACTTTTACAATCAATGACAAACAATAATATTAATACTGTACGTAATCATAAAACAATTTTCACAACCAAAATCACAAACTGATTTTTTCTAGACCACCATTGAAAACCTGGGAGCATGGGATGTCTCTTTCGTTCTATTACGGAACTCCTTAACTATGCGCACCTACGACTGTACATCAGAACCAAGGAGCCGTGGTCTCGAGTGAGAACATTTAACTTCTAAACCAATGGACCAGCATCTAATGGTGCTAATGCTTAACTTCAATCAATCCAAGATCTTGTGCAACTTTAAACACATCGCCCGTTGTGGATAACTGTGTCGCGGCCTGCTTGAATATCTGAGCTACCTGTTCCTCCGATCTACATATTTCATCAAGTTATCTGTTTTGTTGTTTGTTTTAGTTCATCATTATGTTCATTAAGCACACAACCTATTCAGGCGCGTTTATGAAAAGTTTACAACCTTTCGCTATACGTGATACAAAAAGGTGCAATCATCGACATCATGATGGCTGGCAATATGCATTGAAACGAACGAACATTAATCAAATGTGGATTACCGAACTCCTAACATCTAACCGGTCATCATTCAAAATTTATCGTCACAATAGATCAAGGTATAAGAAAAGGAAACTTGTTGAAATACTTTATGCTGAGAATTCTATGTTGTACCAAAAATATAATGTTGAATAAAGCTTCTAATAATATAATATAAAATATAAATCCATTGATAAAAGGTTCTCACTAAAACCCCTAGAGTTATATCTTAAAATCAGTCACTGGCGACCACTTGGTTGTTATAAGTGTAGGAAATTTGTAAAGATTGTATTATATTAACTGAGACTAAAGGTCTTGAATTCGATTGCTGCGTATGTGGTCATGCATGTGAACATCTAAGGCGTCTCATACTAGGACAAAACGATAGTTCAATACTTCTAAGTTTTCATTGCCGGTTTAACTAAGACCAGTTTGTGATTTCAATGCTACAATCCTCACAAATCTTCCGTACTCATAAGTTACTTGTTCAAAGATCAAATCTCTTGCTTTAGAAATTTTCAAATAGAAAAACAAATAATTTTAAAATGAATGATTGAATGCATAAGTGTCAGTGAATTTAATCGACTAATACAATTTTAACAACATAGAATGACATATGCGATGCTTAAAATGGTTTTTTTTTTATAGCTACAGTGTGGCTAAATTTTCAATACTTTTCATTTTACTGTGCATTTACAATTCAGTCCTTTAGTAAATTTTCAGAGTATAATGAGAAGATGAAGTTAGTTTGAAAAACAAAATGAATTTACCAATAATTCTACAAAGATATCAACATTTTATTAATGACTATAAATATGTTTATATATCAACACCTAGTACATGGAAATATATAACGAAAATAGCAAACTAAAAGCAAAAAACAACCAGATAGCTAACAAGGAAAGTTAGTAGGGTGATAAAAATCGGGAAAACGTTAGAAGTATGTTAGAAGTACTATTTATTCATTAAAGTCTACTTAAAACATACTTATTTAATAATTTTAACCTGGTGTAAAACTAATACATTATTACGAGATGGTGGAGGATGTGTGTAGCTCAGGATTCAATTAAATATTATAAAGAGAAAACACAAAGAAAGCCAGAGAATTTTTAAAAACCTGGTACTCCAATCAAGCACCGATTAATAAACACTCTGAAATCAGCCAAATCTATATATATCAAGAGGAAAACAAAAAGAAACAAACATACAGATGACGACCACTAAGGAATGAATAACAACCAACTAAATTACTATTTTCAACAGAATAAACTGTTAGTCAAATGTAAATATATTCTAACTGAACATCGATTTATGAACTACGTACTGTTAATTCTGTTTAGGAAAATAATAAAAGCTTCACAATTAAACCATTCAGTTCAGAGATCACAGCAGCTATATTTTGTAACTTCAGAACTACATGCATATTTACTTTTGATAAATTTATTAAAACGGTTTTCTAGCATGTTAATAAAAACGCTTTATAAATAGAAAATTAGCCGGAATTAGACATTAACAGCATTGGATGTGGACTAAGTGGTCTGATGGTTAAGTGTTCGCGCGCAAGGCCAAATGTCGTAGGTTTGAGTTCCACATACAGGAGCATAAGTGCGTACTTCTGAGAAATCCCATACTAGGACGAAACGGCCGTCCAGTGCTTCCAGGTTCTTGGTAGTGGTCTAGCCCAGATTGGCTGGTAGTTTCAACTGCGAAATACTACAATCTCCACAAATCTCCATACAAATAAATGATAATCAAATAAATTTTCAAATCAAACTTTATTATTTTACCTCCATTGGAAATGAATTCAATTCCATATTTGTTTTAACTGTATTAAACCTATTATAATCAGTAGTCATTGAATTTCTATCTAAAGATCTTTTCTGTAAACTATTATACTTCATATAATTTGAATTTTCTGGTTCATACGTTTCTATATGTGATTTCGACATTATATAATTATCTCCATTTGTATTCATTTGATAATAATGATGATTACTATTGTGATTATTTGGGATGGTTGCCGTCAAGTTGAAAGAAGCGTTACCATTACTTGATGGTGTATTGTTGATGGAATTTATAAATTTTTGATAGGCAGAATGACTTTGAGTCATTGAAAATTCCACATCATGAGATTTTTGATCAAGATGCGTTTGTTTATTTTGGTAATTTGTATTCCGTTGATATTGAACAGATGGTAAGGAATTATTAGTTTGGTTAAATGGTATTGTTGACTCATCGAATTTTAATGTTCTATTGATATCTAATTGGCATAAATTGTTCTGATTTAGTATTGTACACTCATTTTGTAAAGATGAGTAAAGATAAGGTGCTGATAATTGATCAATGCATAGTTTGTTTGAATTGCATGGACTCGGTAAATTCTGGTTTAATAATATTTCATTGTTTATTGAGTGACTTAAGTCAGTAATCAATTGATTATTTTGAATTGAGTACGGTAACGAAAAATTGTAGGGTGAGTTAATTGTAATGTTGATTTCAGGATCTAAAATTAGGCAAACACATCAAACCAGAAAGTAAACTGTTTGCAATTAGTTCCCAAAATCAATTTTTGTAAAGCATCAGCAACAAAGAACTGTGGGATACGATGAACGTACTTCATTCCCGATTATCTAAATCTTTCATACCACGATTGTTTTACATTCCAATCTATGCAATAAAGAATTTTACTCGTCGCTGCCATTATTCGGCACCTCTATTTAAAAAAAAATATATTTGAAACGTATTTATCATTTGGTCTGTTTGACCTTTAAACTTTATTTGACATTCTCTGTCCAACCTGTCAAGTTCTATTTATTTTAAACAATTTTTTATTCCTAATTTACGGTTGTCAGTAGTATAAATCGTCTTATTAATTTGACACTATTCAGTGAAATGTTTAATTCTAACTCTTCTTGATAATTACTATCGATTATGGTTTTTGTATGTTTTACGTAATCTATTTCGTCATTGTCTGTTCAACTCGTTTAGTTTGTTTGTCAATTGATTAAGCTTGTGTATTTATAAATAAAATATTTACAATTATTGTTCACTTGTGGAATAAATGACTTTATGGATGTTACAGACAAAATTAAAAGCCCGTAGTTATTTCATTTAACAGACAATTCAGGCACTACATCTAACAGTATTCCAATATTCACCCCAGGCCAAATAGGTATTTTAAAAGTTGTATTTTAAATATATAATTGATAATCTTCTATTCTGATGTATAGCAATTATTTGTTTTAATGAAATCATTAAAACAATTTTAAAATTACCGTTACATTCATTTATATACGTTGTTTGAAACTCCCTATCGATGTTCAAGACTCCGATTAGTCAGTCATCTATTGACATATGTGTATCTTGTTCGTATTGCCTTAAGTCACAGAGATCACAAGAAGAGTAAATGTAGTTGACGAGTCTCAAATGATATGAAACACGCGCCCTGGATTCCACTACTAATCACCATCTATCTGTCCTTATAGTATCGTCAAATATGAACTTTTCCAACTACTACATAACAAACATTGTTATAGTGTAGACAATTTTTTCAGAAGCGTGTACTAACAACCGATATTTCTTATCCTCTATTCAAACATTTATTACAACTTGTATACAAGACATTTTGAATGGAATTTCCCTATTTAATTACGCTTTAAACAGATTTATTATCCAGATGATTAGGAATGTATGCTGATAATAAACATAATAGTAAATATTTATAAATGATCCATTCAGATTTACGACCAATTCGATCCTTTTATTATTTTGGATAACTTTTTGTAACTAATTTGATTTTCTAATAGTAGAAAAAGCTTAATAAGAATTATTAAACGGTGACCATCGAAGTAATTGTCAATAGAGATAGTGTATTAAAATGCAATTGGAATATAATTTGTAATAAGTTTAGGTATTTTAACCCACAATTTTTAACAATCGAATAACACCGTATAATAACATTAAACTAAATCATTATTTTTAGGATGGTTAGTGTTTGATCACCATATGAGTCAAATCAATCTGATGTGAAATGTATTGTGTACAACTACTGTAAAATAATATATACATGTAAATTAATTAGATAAACTTACATAATGACTGATTTGAGTTGTTTATTAATCCTTGACTTGTTACACAATTATTAAAATTTTGAGTAAAATCATCAAATCTTTCTACTTCACTTGTACTAACTGTTCTATTACTTGGAGCTTTACTACCAAGTGAACTGTCTGTTTGAGCAATAAGAATTTCTGGACTAGTATTGTATAGAACATCCCAATTATGATTATTTAGGACAAGATTAAAAGGATTTTGATTATTATTTAATGTATTATTATTCTCAGTATAATGTATTCCTGTTGTTAATTCAACTGTTTCAGGTGATCTTATGTTATGAAAGGTTGAATTAATCATATTTGGATATTCACATATTTCACCATTTGGTTGGATATTATTGTTCATTGTTTTTGTCAAATAGTTTGAATGATATATTTTAAATGTTAAACAACAATCATTTATAAAAGCATTAGATGATGATACTTTGGAATCATATTTTTCAGTAACAAATGTTGATTTATTTAATTGTTGCCTTCTGTGTATATTCCACTTCAGAGTAATCAATAAAATGAAGATGATTGTAACAGCGCATAATCCTAACAGGATTATAAACCACCAATGATGATAAAATGGTGTTACAATTGTTTTTACTAAATAAAATAAATAAGTAAATATTAAAGTGTTTTTTAAAAAGGAAAATCAGTAAGATAGAACTATAATCACAGTAAGAATATCACAGCATTGTATGTGAGGAATTATCGTGATCAATAAGAAAGGTTAATGAGTAATTTGATAATGTATTTAACACAATTGTAAAAAAAAATATTTGAAGATTTGTTCACTGCCGTAAGTTGATTGATTCTGATATACAAGTAAAAAAAGCATCTCTTCTTACTAACCAAACCGTACGGTAATCTACAGTTCAAGACGAAACCAGTGAATCAAAAGGTGTGAAAGGTTATCAGTCAATAATTAGACGCTTATTAATAGAACAAAAACGTTCTAGAATAATTTCATGTACCACTGGACTTATGAAGATGAAATGGTTTCTTCCTAAAAATGTACTGACTTACAAACACATGTCGAATGCCATGAAGGAGCATGGGCCGACAACAACCATTCTCCATCCAAATCTGTCTTGAAAAATCATTTGCAGTTCTTTCCAGTTTCTGTTCATTTTTTAAATATCTGCTTCCGACTCCTGGCGCAGTGTGTTAATCGATCTACCTTTTCTCGTTTCACTTCCCAATTTCAAGTTAGCGCTTGCTTCGTGATGCAACGTGAAAATTTCAATAACGTATGTCCTATCCACTTCCAACGTCTTCCCCTAATTTTTAATTCAACTGGAAGTTCGTATGTTCTCTCTCATATTAGGCTGCTACTGATGATGGCCGTTCAACGGACATTGATTATCTTGCGTAGACAACTGTTTATAAATACTTGCAGCTTCACGATTATGGTTGTGGTAGTTCTCGAAGTTTCATCTCCGTACTGTAGGACTATCTTGACGTTCGCACTGAAGATTCTGACTTTGAGGTTGACTGACAGTTGTTTCGAGTTCCACATATTCTTCAACAGTAGGAATGCTGCCCTTGCTTTCACACACCATAGTGTCGAAGAAGGTTCCAAAATACTGTCCTATTCACACTCTCGAATGCTTTCTTGCAGTCAAGGACGTTGATGTAAAGTGTCAAGTTCCATTCAATTGGATTCTCAACAACGATCCGTAGTGTTGCGATTTGGTCTGTGCAGGACCGATTGTTACGTAATCCGGTCTGTTGGTATCGAAGTTGAGCGTCTACTGAATCTTTGATCTAGACCAGCAACACTTAATTGAAAACCTTTTCTGGTACCGATATTAGTCTGATTCATCTGTAGTTCTCACTTTTGTTCAGTTCATCTTACCTTGGTATCTTGATGAGATCACCTTCTTTTGAGTTTCTCACTGAACCCTGTCCTTCCCCCCAAATATTCCTGAATAGAATATCGAGCATGTTTGCAGTCACTTCTATATCTAACGTCAGTGCTTCAGCTGGTATGTTGTCAGGTCGTGCTACTTTCCCATTCTTCATTTGTCTGATGACTATCCTGAATTCTTCTATCTTTGGTGGAGTGACATCTGTAATATAAGTCTGTGTGCGCTGTTTCAATATCCGGGTGGTTCACTGGAGCTTGTCTATTCAACGGTTCCTCAAATTGTTCCACCCACCTGTTTCTCTCTTCTTCAATTTCAGTGATTATTTTGCCCTGTTTGTCCTTGACCGGTCTTTCTGGTTTACTATATGATCCCGGATCCATGAGATTCTCATCCTATAATTGCTTTTTGTGCTATTTTGGATAGTATCTGTGCAACTCCCTGCGTACACAGAGCCTTTTTTTTCTTCATGACTAGGGTACAGCATCAACTCTCCCTAATCTATCCTTTGATGTCTAGCTTGTGTCCAATGTGTTACGCTGACCAAGCACTGTAAATTGTAGCATTTTGACTGATCCTCCTGATCTCCCACATCGTCTTGACGTTACATGTACCTATAAAACGTTTTGTCACGATTTTAGAAGAGGCATCCGCTTCGTGACATCCAAAAAATCTCGGATTTTACCATGAATCGTCGTAATTCTTCTGAATAAAGATCCTTCAACTCGGAAGACAGTTTAAATGGTTGAATTAGTGCAACCAGGTTAGCGTTTTTTGGCGAGATTGTTTTCCATGGGATGCGGTTGCCGACTACATGACCAACCCTCTTCCTTTGTTTGCGCTTTAGATCGGCAGTAACTCTAGAAGAGCTACAAGCGGATTTTTCCTCAAAATGCACTGTTGTTTATTTGACTTGAGGTCTATGATGAAATTGTGTATTCAAATATCTCAAATAATTAAAGTAGGAAATGTCTTAATAGCCAAATTATAACTGTAGTTAGTGTTTAGTTATTACAGATACATCTTCAAATAGTGACATATTTTAAACTCAGAGAAAATATAACCAAACTCATCGGAAACTTCAGATAAGTTAGGAAAACTGTTATTTAAAATACCAAGCATTATTTAGGTAGAATTCTGTAAGTTTTAACACCAGACTGCATGAGAATCTATATCACGTCCAAGCTCTGGGTTTACTGAGAAATTGGAGAACCACCTACTTACTCATCCAGGTTTTATTTGATTATGTTTGTTAGTGACAGGGTTTTAAATATAATAGTATCTATGACGGATACTTTAGAGTCTACTTAGTTACTTTTTGACAGTCAGTCTGAGACGTTTTCTCATAAGATGAGATCATGAACAAAATTCACTTTACATCTTTCTTTGAACATATGACTTATCATAACCACTTCAGAACTGCGCTAAATGTTAGTTTCATATTCAACTTCCCCATCTTCAGTTTTATTCATCATATTTCATCACTGACCGATGAATTTTAAATACTTATAACATGAGATGCTTTCACTTCATATCGCACACAGTCATATGTAAACCAGTCAGCATTAAATATGTTGATTTTAATAAAGGTTAATTTGTCATCAGAAATAACCACAAAGATTTCAGTCTTATTCAATTACTTTCAATAGTATTCTGAAGCCGACGAGTTTCCAACACGCTAAAGCTATAAAATTAAATATTCACAAAGCAGTTGTGGATGACCGAGCCAATAAGTTGTTCCTTGCAACTAATGGTCATTTTTTCGAGATGATTAGTTTCCCAAAACCAATTATCTTTACCAGTTGTTTCAGAAGTATTTTAAATGGTTTAAAGAAACAGAAGTTGTCGATCGTCCACACCCTGGCAGCTATATCCATTTTCTACTATTGAATATACTGCTGAAATATATATTTTCTTTAATTTACCAGAACAATATAACAATCAAATATACTTTGCTTACACTTTATAACACTCCAGTCTGACTCTTGACTAGGTAGACCTATTTGAAATTGATTAACTGGAGATACACGAAATTGAATTGCTACATGTGTTGTAGAATCTATCGGTACATTAGCATCAGTAAATGCAGCTGTAATCATTCGTATTGTCGCTTCATGATTGATTTCATTCATTGGTGTTTGTGATTTCACTTTTCTTTTCACTGCAGTAAATGAATGCTTTAAATCTTTATTTAAATTGACTGAAAGTTTTGTTAAATCTTCAAAATCAAAAGTGTACAATCTCATTGAACTGTTTATCATAGTAAAAGAATACCATTTGTTTAAGTTCCCTGTAGAATAAAACATTATTATTATAATACCAGTTAAAAGTATTTTACTATCTGGTAAACTAGAAAATAATCATCACAAATATTTAAGTCTACTATTATCAAAGACGAATCTATTTTTAAACACATTTAAAACATCATTTTATTTCAACCGTACTTGCATACATAAACAGACTCTACTGAACAAAAAGAAGAAGAAGAAGTAGCGATATGATCTCTCATATTGAATGGATTCACATAACTTCAACATAACTGAATGTACTATTTAAAGTGTCTTGTGAATAACTTTGATTATAAAATATTTACACTTCATTACATGAATCTCAAACCAATAAATCATAAACGAAGACAAAACGTTATAACAAATAACGTTGAATATTGCTGCTTCCAATGACAATGCCAGCTTCAGATTTTGTCGCTTCAAACAACAGGTTCACGATGCTGGATGCGATGTGGTAGATAACACGTTCAGTCGCTTGATATTAGTCTAAATTTTTAGTTCACTGACGTCCGATAACACTCTAACTGGCGCATACTTATATCATATAGTCAGAAAAAACGTAACTTATAGATTGACCAGACATTAAATATGAACATTTTTTTATTGCTACAATTTTTCACTCACCTTACTACGTACATTAAACACTTCCTATAAATCTGCAGTATTATATTTACCTTTTAATTCATTCTTAGTCTAGTAACTTGATGGGACAAATAAACAATGGTTAAACATCCGAAATTGTCATGGCTATATGTGTGCGGGATCGTGGATGAGTACTGCTGAGAATTACCATATTAAAAAGAAACGACCATTCAGTGCATCCAAGTTTTCAGTGGTGGTTTAGCTTAGATAGTTTCGTGAATTCAAATGTGAAAATCAATTATTAATCACCTGCTTTACTAACATTACTGAAATACCTATTTTCCAGATGTTCAGTTGTTGAAAAGATTGATTGAAATAATGAATGCGTCAATCTTAAACCACCATTGAGAACCTAGAAGCACTGGATGGCCATTTCATCAACGTATGGAGCTTATCAGCAGTGCACATCCACGATCTCCTGCACGGGATTCAAACTCAGGACCTTCGGTTGTCAGCTTGAACGCTTAACCTCTAGACTATTGAGTCGAGATACAACGGTGTTACTGTCTAACCAATCTACGATATTACGCTACCATCTTCCATTGTCTTTGGTGGGTAACCGCCTCACACCCAACATGGGTTAGCTCCATTGGTAGCGGCTTCCCATTAGAACTCCGAGAATTACCTCTCAAAGCTAATCATGATATTGGAAACAACTTTTCATATCTAATTTATGTTGAGCTGCTAATAAAGTCTGTTAATCAAACTATGTACTGAGACTGTAAAGATTTATCAAATGTTTGTCTGTGAGCAATTTTTTAATCAATATTATCACTCTTAAAATGTACCCTGGAGTGCTATTTTTCATACATGAGAAAACATATTCTCATGATACAAAAAAAAACCTACATGAATAACGTAATTCAATTAATATATGAGTAATCGAATTGATCCCAGACATGACTTCACTCCACAGAATTGTAATGACAGTTGATGCATAATTAATATTTGTTTCATTGTAATGAAACTGTAATGAATTCCTAGTCAAATTTCCAAACTTTTGATTCGTCGCATTTTTATTTATGCTATTGATAAACACTACTGGACGACGTAATATTGGTGAATTGAATGAACAAAACTTTTCCAAGCTTGGATCAATCTAAAATGAAATGTAAAACAGTAAATCAGTAGTAAATACTAACACGATTAATTATGACTGATTATGAAGTATGCTTCATGAAAAAAATATTCTGTTCAAGGAATGTTTTCGATTTAGTCCTTGCAAAATTAGATAATACAATGACTCTGTACATAAAGTTATTTTTTTAAACCATAATCAAATACTTCTCATTACATTTTGCACTGATCCATCTGATGTTTAACGCATACATAACACTATCTTAAGGAGGAGAAATCGCGGACTGTTAACGTACCGTGGTATGTTAGATTAGGAATTCCATATACGTTCACCTATCTCTCATAATCATCATGAGCCTATCTAACATATAGATCCCAAAGTGTCTATGCTACATGATCAAGTGTAGAAATTTGAAAGTAAAACGAAGGTTACTGACAATATTACTAGGATGTGTTTGTCTTGTACATGGAATATTTATTACGTAAACTTCCAAACTCTCATAAGTAATGAACAACGTTCGAGGAAACAAACTACATAAGGACTAGAAGGTTAGGTTATTACCAATGCAACCAAGATGATGTAAAGGTGTATTTTAAGGTTCTCTGTTTGACACTATTGAAAATGTCCTATGTTACAGGAATTTATCTTTTTTAACAAACATTTAAAAATAAGAAATAATGCAAAATGGACCGAATGTTTAAGTTCAAAAAGCCATTTATACTGCATACTTATATATCATGTTTAAATACCTTATATTATAGCTGTAATTTACGCTTTGGTTCTTAAATTTGAATAGTCAGCTTTTAACAACTAATCGCTTCATAAACATTAAAGACTACTTTAACATATATATATATATATATATATATATATATATATATATATATATATATATATATATATATATATATATATATATATATATATATATATATATATATATATATATATATGCTAACACACGATTCATCGAGAGTCAAAGCCAATACACTCAGATCCAGAAGAGAGCTCATGACCTTCAGAACATGACTTAACGACCATTGGTGTACATCCATAAACTTAATCAGTTTGCGATATTACTCTATCATATTTCAATCGCTTTAATCTTTGATTATCTTGCATCGTACATGGTTGAAGTATTCTAATTCAAGTTCCAACATCTGATCATCTGATTGGGTACATTTGACTGAAAATTGTTGACGTTGAACAAGTTATTTATTTACTAGATAAATTACATTTTTATTATTTCCCTTTTAAACAGATATTTTATGAACGATTTGAGATTGCTGTGCTCTGTCTGAAGGCTAGTAACAATAAGCATGTTATTGATGTAAGATAATCAAGAAATTATTTATGGACATATACTTTTATTTATCTATAATCATGACAGATCACTAACACTCGTCTTAAATCTAATGATTATAGTGACGATTTCATAAAGACACCATCAATGTATTAACTGTATCATAAATAAACTTAGTACTTACTGTTTTGAGTAAAGTTTTAAAATCACATTTATGTTGGGATATAATTCTGGTTATTTGAGGTGAATTAAACCAACAATAACTTGTTGACGCATAAATACAAGTTGGTGTACTCCAACCATCATTTTGCTTTGATTCTGTTCGAGCATATACTTTAAATATGTATGAAGTATTTTCATGTAACTGATCTATGGTATATGTTGTCTCAAATGATTTTAGTATCACTGTAAATTGTTGCTCAAGTTCTTCGCTATTCGTTGAATCTTTAAGTAAAGTAAAATAATAGATTCGTTAAAGTAGCTCGTTAATTAGTGACGTTCTTGTTAAGACACGAAAATGCAACTAATATAAAACATTATTACATAATCATCATTGAATATGAATTGAAATCGATCAGTCTCAAAAACTAACCTACAAACCACATTTAAGAGGGAGTTATTCATGGAAATAACTACCAAACCTCTGTAACACAAACTCAAAGATTCATAATAAACATTTATGATTTAGGTTCATTTATGTTTATTATAACCCGTCTTTTCCTAATTTTCAATTCAACTGGAAGTTCGTATGTTCTCTCTCATAGTAGGCTGTTACTTATGTTTTCCATTCACGATCATTGGGTATCTTGCGTAGCCAACTGTCTATAAATACTTGCAGCTTCACGATTATGGTTGTGGTAGTTCTCGAAGTTTCATCTCCGTACTGTAGGACTATCTCGACGTTCGTATTGAAGATTTTGACTTTGAGGTTGACTGACAGTTGTTTCGAGTTTCACATATTCTTCAACAGTAGGAATGCTGCCCTTGCTTCCACAAACCTCGAATTTACGTCCGTATCAGATCCTCCCTGTTCATTGATGATGCTGACCAGGTACGTGGAAGATCCCATATGGTTCAGAGCTTCTCCATCAAGTGTGACTGGGTAGGTGTTCTCCACGTTGTATCTCAGTACCTTGGTTTTCCTTTATGTATGTTAATGCTTACAACTGCAGAGGCTGCTGCTACTCCAGTTGTCTTCATCTGCATTTGTTGGTTTGTAAGGTATAGAAGATCTGGGTCATCCGCGAAGTCCAAGCCGTCTAGTTGCATCCAAACCATCAATTGTATTCCGTGCTTCCCCTCAGATCTAGAGGTCTTCATAATCCAGTCAACCACCACAACCAATAGATAGAGTGGGAGTGGGCATCCTTGTCTGACACCGGTCATAAATTGTGAGCTTCAGCTGGTATGTTGTCAGGTATAGCTGTCTTCCCACTCTTGATTTGTCTGGTGGCCATCCCGATTTCTTCGATCATTGATGGAGTGAACTGACCTTTATCGTCGTCATTTCTATCCTTGGTGGGTGCATAACGTTGGATAACATTCATAGTGATTTCCTCTTTTTTGAAAGATGATTTGATGGTCCTGAATCCTTGAGATTCTCATCCTATAAGTGATTTACGTGCTTCTTTAGACAGCATTAAAGCAATTCCCTGAGTGTGTGAAGCAGTTTCCTCTTCGTGGCTGGAGTACAGAAGCATCACTCCCGTATCTAGCCTTTGATGTTTAGCTTTTGTTCAATGCGTTTCGCTGATCCCGAGCACTGTCAAGTTGTATCTCTTCATCTCAGAAACTATTTGACTAATCCAATCTGGTCTTCCACATTATATGAAAGTTCTGTGTCTCTGGTTTTGCACTGGTTGTTAGAATGGGCATCAGCCTCGTAAAATCCGAAGAATCTCGGCTTTCATCATGAGTGTTATAACCTTGAATAGCTTTTTCCCAGTCGATAATTTGTTATGACTTGACCTTGATCTGTCTAGTCTAGATTATGACCTTGGCGCAATAGGCTGAGCGGTTTTACCTTGAGGCTAGTACGCGTGAGTTCGAGCTGGGGTAGAGAGAAAACTATTCTAGAACCTGATTGGCTGGCAAGCACGCAAGTGAGAGCAGACAAGACAGTTGGAACATTCTGAGTTCTCTGAATTCTGAATTAGTGCAAAAAGGTACATGAATAAATACGTGAATATCCTGACCACAACGTACGATGATAATTTGGGAAAATACAATTATGTCCAAAACTGGGAATTAGGGTAGAAAATAAGGTGCAAAATATTATGTTTACATTACAATAGTTTCGGAACAAAAAGGGGTATGGCGATGAATGATACATCGAACGAAAGCTCATGTTCTGTAGAATAAAATAGGGATAAAAATAGATATAAGTGTTCTACAAGGTTTGAATAAAGTGAAATAACGTCCCAAGAAATATCTTTCGTAGTTTGTCTGGGCTTCTTATTAGATCTTGCCTCAGTGGTTCAAAAGTTAAACATCTGTGCGCTAGACTAAAGGCTCAAAGTTTCTTTCCTGATGTCTGGAGTGAATATACATTACTGAGAAGCGTCACACCAGTATGAATCAGCTGTTTCATGACCACTGATTTTTAAAGATTGTCTAACTTTAGTCGAGAAAAACGTGAAAAAAACGTTGTAAGTACTAAAAGTAATTTTCAAGAACAAATTATTATTGTAATGTTGATAGGTACCGCACCAAATCTATAAAAAATGGTGGAAAATTGATTTTTAATGAGCTCAGATGAATCAGTATGTACTGTTACAAACGAGAAAAAAACGGTAAAATTTATCCATCAGTTGAATCCATTCCAGCAGGTTCGTCGGTAAGTAATAAATTTGTCTCGGAAGTTAACAGTATAAATGACGATCGTTATGAAAACAAAAGGAGGTAAATTGTTTACAGCCCCTTCAAATTTCATGTTTCGCAAATACTTACATAATCGATACAGTACATCAAAAGAAACTGAAAGTGTTATGTTTAGTAAAAATCACTTTATATTCAATTACTTACTTTTGTCAGTAAATTGATTATCTTTGAATGGAAAAGTAATTTCACTCCATGAGACACGATAATTTACAAGTTTTCCATTCAATTGTTCAGGTTGTGACCATTCAAGTTTAATTAGATTTCTTGATAACCATTGAGATGCTAATGAAAATGGAGGTTGCGGTGGTGATTGTGATGTACATAACAGTTCACCAGATAAACAATCATTTTCTATTGAATGATGTAATTTTACATTTGTATTACTTTGCGTCCCTTTATAATTGGATTGTGGGAAAAATACTTTTGGTCCATGTCCACCCGTTGTTATAACATGAATTGACATTTTATAATAAAAATATGGTTTAATAATTGTTTGACCTGATAGGATAACATTTGATTGAGTTATACTTGATGCAGAATATAATAAAATACCGTGTACATGTGGTTTAATGAAGATGGAATGAATTTTAATGGAATCATAGGAGATGTTATAATTTATGTCACCGTATTCATGTAGTTCTAACTATAAGGCAAATACATTTTAATGAAACAGAAAAATCATCAGTATGTGAATATAAGTTTTACTACATGTAAGCTACTATTATGTTTCCATAACATCGTAACCTACTAAACTAACGCTTCTTCAAAGATTATTAGTACTTTTTACTGACTCGTAATTAATGACCAGTTTTTTCCAAACACCCAAAATTATAACACATTACACAGGGTGAAGAGTGACTCAAATGAGCGAGTGGATAGATAAGAGAGTAGACAAATATGATATTGGTTAGGACTTAGTAGTTCAGCCATTTGAATATCTACATGTTTTATGTATAAATCTCATTTTGTTTAACCTCGTTTAAAGCATGTATATCTAACTAAACACATTGTATTAATTTATTTAAGTAACAAAAAGCAGTTGTTGTATTACAGACTATAACTTTCTGGTTCACAAGCTGGAGGTTGATGAATTGTTATTAACTATAATTTTCACTTGTGTTCAAGTACCATGAGGTGTGGCAGTTTTCGTTTAAATAAATGACAAATCCATATTTTGATGACGTTATATAAAATATTGACTTTTAAAAATTAGGGAATACGTTAACTTATCACTTAGAAACAAAGATTAACA